GCTGCTGGCGGTCGTGGTTGTAGTGGCGCTTTCACCATCGCCGCCGGCGAGAGTGTCGGAAGTGGAGGTGCCGGATGGCTGTGCGGAGGCCGAAGGTGCATGCACCGCACCGTGTGCATGTGTCCCGCTGTCTGCTACGGCTTTTGGTGGATCCGCACCGTCAGCCGATGATGTTAATGTTTCCTGACTCCCTGTGGATCCGGTACTGCCTGGCTGCCCAGCAGAAGCAGCAAAGACTCCAGCACCCGCACTGCCGCTGGCCGAAGCACTGTCCTGCGGAGTTTCTGCCGAAGATGACGTTGCTTTTTGTGATGGCGACGGTTGGCCCCCAGAAATTTGGGATCCAGGCCTTTCTCCCACCGCTAATTTATCGGAAGCTTTTAACTCACACTCGCCCGACTTCCCAAGTGGATCGCCACCTGTTCCAGTAGAAGCGACGGCTTTGCCGTTCGCCAGCTTGTGCAGTGGGCTGTCGTCTTCCGCCGTACAGTTCATCATGAACGCAACAACATTACTGTTCTCCCCTGCTGAAGGTGGAGAGCATTTAGTCTCCTTGACGAGGAAATAAAATGATCCAGCAAATACGCAGATGGAGTCACTGTCAATTCTGGTTTTACTGGACGTATGGGCAGTAAAAGGCCCATGATAATCCACCGGCTCCGGGCACAACGTCCAAGAGGTACTCCTGTCAGAAACACGCCAACTTAATTTTCCTTCACCATTCGGACACGACACCTCCACCGCATAAAACTTCGATGGCGCCGACGCCCCGCACACGGAGGAGCAGCCGCAGAGCAGCGCAAGCACCGCCAGGGCATACACCGCACGGCGCCGCACCGTCGCCATCGCCATCGCCATCCGTCTCATTAGTAACAACAGTAGAGTCGCTCGAGTCAGTAAGCTGAAAGGCAGCAGGGACGAGAAGGAAAGAGAGAAGATGAATGAAGTAGAGGCAGTGACGAGCACAACGGCAGAAGAACAGAGAGAGCAGATCAAACAAGAAGACGGTATTTCACCAATTATACGCGGTACCCTGCAGCCGCAAGGGGAGGAATTTGCTCCGCCTCCGTCCCCTGCAGGTGTCTTTAAGAACGCCAGCACGTGGGAGAATATGAAAAGCAAAACAAAAAAGAAAATAAACCTAAAAAACGGCGTACGCCGT